ATTTGATGAATAAATAAAGGAGTATTATTTATAAGTAAAGTTACTGTCTTATGTTAAATGTTTAACTATTGTTTCATTTTGCATGTTTTGACTTCCAGAATAATTGAGTTTATTTAGAATAATCGAATTATTCAAACAATCCACAATCGTTCATATGTTGGAAGTAGTTATGAATGAAGATTGTCATGAATTGGTGTGTAGATTGTCTAAATGGTATTAGACATAGCAAAAGTTTGTTGCAACGTTCATGAGTGCTTATGAACTAGTTTTGAGCATTGGAACAAACTCGCACTTGCTGGAATCACCTTATGGAATTTGACGAAAAGGTTGATCGCAAGACGATAATATCATATGGTCTTAAAACCTACATATATGGTTTGTTATTTGTTAATTGGCTGTACATTGATAATGCGAAACCGCATCAGTAAATTGATGTTATAAAACACATTGTTGTGTATAATTGATTAATGAACAAGTAAATGCATACAAGTCGAATTTTATCTGTTACTTTTATCCTAAGAGGGTAAAAGCGATATCTCGATCGCTCGATGATTTGATTTGAATTATGTGTCGGACCCGGTCAGAACTAAATTGATGTGTTCGATTAAGTTCTATGTCGAATAAATCTGAGATCGAGAAACCAAATGCTGGACAATTGGTTCCATAGAATTGTCCACATGATATCTAAACACAACTGTACGATCCCTTATCTAAAGGGCAGGACTGATAAGATCAGAGTTTGACAGCGTCTTTGAGAGCTACGATTGCTGATCGGTATACATAGTTACTAGACTTATCCAAGTGGGAGACTGTTGGAATAGTGTCTAAGGCTGCAACTATATTTGGTAAGTACTTGACCCAATTGAGCATGGTCCTTTTGGGTTGCCTTCATCATAGCAACTTGACAGGATGATTTATAATGAGAGAAGAAATATTATTAATATATTATGAGAATAATATAAGGAATAATAATATTTTTATTTGATTAATATAAGTCATAAATTGATTAGGAATTAATTTGGTGACTTAAAGAGATTAATTGAATAAAGGGGTATAAACTGTCAATTGTATGATAGTTGTATTTTGAGCAGTGACTCCTTAGGGATAAGGGGTGGATGATTTTAGGTAATTGGATGAGCCTAGAAATCGTCCAAAGGCTTATCATAAGGAGATTGGATTGATTAGGGCTTAAGTTATCCAATTAGGGTTTAAGGGGGAAACCCTAGGAGGCTCACTAGTATAAATACACCCATAGGGTTGAGGAAATCGGCACCCTTGGTATAGGAGAGACCCTGGCCGACTTTTCTCACCTTCCTCTCTCTCTCTCTCTAATCATCCTCTTGATAGTTGGTGTTTGTAAACCATTAGAGGAGTGACATTTGTGGCTCTAAGCTCCAAGGACAAGAAGATTCAAGCAAGTAATTCAAGGTAATCTTTCAGATCTGATTTCATATGTTATTATACTAGATCTATCAATCAAAGTCTTGGATACATTGCATGTTCAATTAGAGAAACCTAGATCCAAGCATTAGGGTTTGTATGTGCACATAGGAATGTTCTTATGGCTAAAACCCATCAATTTTGGTTATAAGATGACAGTTTGGTATTGTTCAAGATGTTGATGTCTAGTTGGGAAGTAGAGTCCTCTGAGATTTATACAAATGACACATGATTACACAGTTGGATTACCATTGAAGTTTCATAGATATTATTGGAAGAGTTTTATGGTATCATTGGTCGAATCACTGACAAGTTGATTGTTAAGTTCGAGGAGCGAACTGCAACCTTTCAGACTATATAAGAGACTATTTAGGCAACTAGGGAGAGAGATCTTGATGTAGGAACCCGATACGATAAGAGAAAGCAGGCTCATGATTCCACATTTTCATTAATGGACAAATAGTTCGAGGTTGCTAACCTGGGTACTTGAAGTTGGGGGGGACTTTGATATCTGCGGAAAGTGTGGTGGAACCCACGAGTTTGCTTTCCATAAGTTCAAATGCTACAAGTGTGGAAAGTTACGTATAGCATGTCATTGTCTAGGCTTACAATCAATGAGATGTATTTACATTGTCATTGACCTATATTTAAGGGTTATGCCAATGGCCCCCATCAGGCTTTAAGAAAAAGTCAACTTGTTATCCAAGATTATACAGACAGTGTCGAAACATGTTGAAACTTCGGTATGCTTCAGGTTCTAGGACAGTGCTTCAATAACTCTTGGTCAAACTGTTATTATGTTTTTGATACCGAACTTTAACAATTCCCAAACAACTTTAACCTTCGATATAATACCTTGACCTGGCAACTCTTAGACTACGCTCTTCGGATCATCATCCTTCACCATTAGACTTCACATCTCAACAATCTCTCACTTGGAGGCTAATTGTCAAACAACTTCTTATGCCTTACAATATGTAACCCAAATCATCTTTAGTTTGCATCTTCAACTGAAGCTATACAAAATGTCAACTTTTCTATTGTTACCACCTTGGTAAACATATATGTTGGGTTCTTCACACCAATTATGTTCTACAAATTGAGCATACATTCGCTTATCAATTCTCTAATAAAATGGTATCTTATCTTGATGTATTTTTTCCTATTGCGAAACACCAAATTTTGGTTCCTCCAGTTGTGAACACTCTGATGTAGCCTTGACATCCAACTAATAATGGTTCCTCTGATTGTGAACACATAACCGGCAATGCTTTTACCCGAATCCACACAACCTCCATATCAACTTTAGCGAAACCTTCGAGAATGACATTATGCCTTTGATAACATAAGATGACATTTGTAGCTCCTTTCAAATAGCAAAACGTCCACTTAACTCCTTCTTAATTCTCATTCCATGGATTCAATATGAATTGAATGACAATTGTCCCTACATTGGAAATATTTGGTCTAGTGCATACTATTTCATACATCAAGCTACCAACCACAAATGCATATGGAACTTTCGACATTTCATCCTTGTTCACTTCAGATTTTGAGAATTGACTCTTCAAAGGTTTCACGTAACTCTCAAGGGGCGTACTTATGTCATATTAATTTCTTTAAAATTTTATAAATGTACTTCTCTTTGCAAAAAGTTTTAGTGTTCCTAAAGCTTTGTCTTTAACTAAGCTCATGCAAAGTATTTGTTTATAAACCCCTAAGTCCTTTATCTCAAACTCCCAACACAATTGTTTCTTCAACTTAAGCAAGATGATTATTTAAAAGGATTTGAATTTCTTCATATGATAACAATAACCGCTCTCACCCCGAAAACTATAATATTTCCCAAACAACTTTAGCCTTCGGATCATACCATGACCGGACAACTCTTAGAGTACGCTCTTTGAGTTTCCTCGTCCTCCACCATTTTTCACACTTCACCATTAGACTCCACATCTCAAAAAAAAATTATTTTCTATTTATGTAATTATCCTTGATTTATTATTACCTTTAAGGTTATCCTTTCAACAAGTTAAGTTTAGCATGTAAATTCCTTGAAAACTATTTAGATATTCGTTGAAAATCCATCGCTTTTGTTTAACCCTTACAACTAACTCCTCCAAGAACCTCATTGGAAAGTTGAATGTCGGACACTTCAACTCACAGCTAAAATCCTAATAAATTACACAGCATCTATGTCATCATCTAAATAGTGTTTGTATATTAACTTGTGTCCTACCATAATGCCATATGAAAAAGTTCATTAACAATTCATAAGACTTAATGAGACCCGCCTTGGATCTAGATGGAAAAACTCATGATGCACCCTCTTATAATTTCTTCTATCATCCCTCAAGGATCACAATACAATCACAAGAAAAAAAAAAGTTTCATCACATTGTCTCCTCCCTCGTTGATCTCTCTCTCTTTCTCTTTCTCTCTCTCTCTCTCTCTCTCTCTCTCTCTCTTACACACACATACACTCACTCACTCATTCATTCTCTCTCTGGTTTTGGAAAGATCTTGCGAGTATGTACATAATATAATTGATATATTAGTCTTTATGTTGTTTTTTTTTTTTCATCACACAAAAGCATATGGGTATGATTTATTGATAAAAACATAATGGGGTATCAAACTATCAATTAGGGATCTGCATTTGGACCGAGCACCCGAACCGAAACTGAAACCCAAACCGGACTGACTCGAATTAGGATAGAATAAGTTATTTAGGTCGGTTCTCAGGTATCTGTTTTAGCCTAATTTGATTCTCAGGTTACCCGAATAAAGGTTTAACCGGACCAAAAGTACAGACCTGAAAATTAAATAGTCACTTGATCGATTCCTCTTGACTCTTGCATATTGTGTATTGTCGTACCCACCGACCGAGAAAGTCAATTGTGGACACATTGATAAAATTTTGAAAAATGATGATGTCGTAAAAGCGTTGGAAAATGCGATAAACAATGGAGGTGAAAAGGAAAAAACAACCAATCAATATTCCCGAATAGCTAACTTGTATTTGGTCGTTGTTATTTAGAAAAAACTTAAGACTCATATTTTAAATTTGATGCTTAATGTTTAAATATGAATTATGGATTTTTGGAATATGAATTATTAATGTTTAATATATTTTTTTATTGAACTAGATATAAAATTTCCTTATTTGGGTTATTCGGGTTATTTCGGTTCAAAAACATATTGTACATGTTATTTCGGTCCTTTCGGGTTAATAACCAAACCGAAACACACATTATCCGAACCGATTCAATCATGTATTAATATAATCGGTTCGGTTTCGGTTCCAACTTTCCATCCAATTCGGGTTTAAGGTTATTCAGGTCTAGTCCGATTCGGGTCGGTGTTGGCCTTAAACACATCACTAATGAACTAAATTTTTTAAAAAAGTAACAATATTTTTTTGTTTTTAAATGATCATTGTAACCAGAAAACCTACTATGTCATGTGATAATGGTCTTTTAAAAATAAAAAAGAGATTACAGAAAATAGTTATTACAATAATTTAATACAATTTTAGAAGTAATAACAATTGAGTTATTGACTTATTTCGGATGCCCTAACTTGCTAAACAACAACTGAAATTCGAAAGCAGCATGTTTTGATTGTTATTGTCAATTCAAAAACTCCATTGAAGCGGGAAATTCGCCCTCCGTTTGAGCTCCACCCTCAGCTCCAAACCAGGGGATTATGGGACCGAAGACCAAACAAACGATGAAGAAGATACTGAAGAACCCCACTCCCGCCGTTGAAGATGTCATAACCAAATCCAAGAAGAGAACACGAAAGGTCTACCAATCGAAACCGCAACCAGCGTTTACCATCGGCGACATAGAAGATTTTCAATTTAGGGAAGATGAAGTTAAAGAAATTAGGGCATCCTTGTTGAAATGGTACGACGCTAACCGGAGAGACCTTCCATGGCGGAGGATCAACGACTCCGATGATGACGACAGAGATAGAAAAGCATACGCTGTGTGGGTTTCGGAAATCATGCTTCAACAAACAAGAGTTCAAACTGTTGTAAACTATTTCAATCGGTGGATGGAGAAATGGCCGACTGTTCATCACCTAGCTCGAGCTTCCATCGAGGTTTTCAACTTCTCAGTTTCTCAGTTTCATCTTCATTTGTATGATTTTCTTTGGTTAATCAGGGCTAATATGATATTTTTCTACAGGAAGTTAATGAGATGTGGGCAGGATTAGGTTATTACAGACGAGCAAGGTTCTTGCTGGAGGTCGATTTCAAATCCTTGAAATTGCCATTGAATTATTATTCTTGTATTTATGAAAAGCAATCGAAATTCTTATGTGATAGGGAGCAAAAACGATTGTTGAAGAAGGAGGCCAGTTTCCAAAATCGTTGAAAGATCTTCGTAGGGTTCCAGGAATAGGTGAATACACAGCTGGTGCAATTGCCTCTATAGCCTTTAAAGAGGTGACTACTTTTTACCATTTAGTCTTTAATGTTTAACAAATATATTCGCTTTTTCCTTTGATATTTAATAAAAAAAAAAAAAAAAAATACAGGCACTAAGAAATATTTGTAATGTAGGCAGTGCCTGTGGTTGATGGAAATGTTGTTCGGGTGATTGCTAGATTAAGAACAATATCCGCAAACCCTAAAGACAAAGAAACTGTGAAAACCATATGGTGAGTTTTTAGTTTTTTATAACCGGGCTAATGTTAGCCCATGTGTACCTGTAAATTTACAGTGTGGGTCAGCTTAGGGGTTGTTGGAAAAATATATACAGGAGATTAGCGGGGCAACTAGTTGATGAGGATAGGCCGGGAGATTTCAATCAAGGTCTTATGGAACTTGGTGCTACATTATGTAAACCCTTAAACCCTAATTGTTCTACTTGCCCGATATCCGCTCAATGTGGTGCACTTTTGGAGTCCAAACAAAACCTATCGATTGTTGTTACTGATTATCCAACTAAAGTAGCAAAAGTGAAACAAAGGCACGATTTTTGTGCCATTACTGTTGTTGAAATATTGGAAAGTGAAGATAGAATGAATAGTAAATTTCTGCTTGTGAAGAGACCGGAAGAAGGTTTACTTGCAGGACTTTGGGAGTTTCCATCGGTCTCTTTGAATGGGGAAGAAGCTGATGTGGATGCAAGGAGAGAAGCTGTTGATGATTTCTTGAAGAATTCGTTTGGTTTAAATCTTGATATTGTTTCACGAGAAGAAGTAGGTGAATATGTTCATATTTTCACGCACATCCGCCTCAAGATGTATATCGAGCTCTTGGTTCTACGTTCACAAGGTATCAATATCCATAGTTTGTACAGTTGGTTATGGGGTGGTATCTTTTAAAAAAATGTTTGAGGATTTTTAATTCCAATGTTTACCTGATTTACATCTCTTATGATGGTTTTGGTTAATGTTTGTGTACAGAACTGCGTAGAAAGGAGAAAGGAGAAATGTCATATAAATATGTGGATACGAAAACACTTGGAAGCATGGGGTTAACGACTGGAGTTAGAAAGGTATGATTTTGTGTTTTACTTTATTTTGGCTATCTTTGGTCTTTGATGAGGATCGGTTGATTTTGTGCAATGCAGGCTTACAACATGGTCCAGAAGTTTAAACAGAGTAGATCAAGTCTCTTGAAAACAGTTTCTAGTTGAAGATACTTTGATGTTCTAATCAATGTATTATCGATTAATCTGTTATGTACATTATCAGCCAATGAATCGGTAGCTATTTTTGGAAATCAACTTGCTTGTTTGTGCTACATCAGATTTGGACATGTTTTCTTGCAATAATCAAGCCCATTAAGTTTTGAGTCCATGCAATGACACATGAAGATACTTGAGAATTAGACATGTTTTCTTGCCAATATTAAACCAAAAAATAAAGGAAACTATAAATACATCAATCTTTTCAAGTTTTCATGTTAAAAGGGTATACAAGAATGAAGATAAATCATAGCATTAACAGAATAAGAGGGTGTTTGGGAGTGCTTTTTAATTAGAAAATTACTTTTAGATAAAAGTGTTTATTTGCTTATAATGGTGGTAAAAAGAGTTTTTTAGAAAGTGTTTGGATAAGTTTTTATAGTGAAAAAATCAATAAGTTAAAAAGTGTTTGGCTTAAAAAGTGTTTTTTGAAGTTATTTTGGTTGAAAAACCATAAACAGTTTCAAAAAACCATGTTTTCCATGTTTATTAAAAAGTGCTTATCGAAGCTTATGAAAAAACTATTCTGAAAAGTGTTTTTAAGTTTGTCAAATACTCCCTCCGTCCCAAAATAATAATCCACAAACAAAAAAACACAGTTTAAGAAAACATTAATTACAATTAACTTTATTAAAGGAAATAACAGTTTTACTCTTCTGTTGCATTTAATTCTATGGTAATTGCATTTAATTTTATGGTAATTTAACTAATAATGAGGGGTATTATGGTAAAAACATATTTATTTTTAGAAGTAGATAATTATTTTGAAATAAACCAAAAAGAAAACATAACTATTAATATGGGATGAAGAGAGTACTTTTTTTTGGCTTATTAGCTTTTCAAAAAGCGAATAAGCAAATAGCAAATAAGCACTTTTCAAATGCAATCTCAAAACACCCCTAAGATAACAGGGAAAAACTAATATATTTACAGTTTCCTTTAGTTTTTATTTTTTATTCAACGATTAAAATATTTACAGTTTCTCATTATTTATGATTTCAGTTTTCAATTTTCAACTTTAACGCATGTTCAATTTCTAATAGTGATTTTTCTATTCCACATTATATTTAACGTAATATAAAAAACTAGTAATGGAGTATTTTGGTGGGAGGTTTTTTAAGTTTATATGAATTACTAAATATTTTATAAAAATTATCAAAGTTTTAATTCTAAATAAAACTGAAGATGAATAAAATGGACTGGGGCCGCTGCTATGCTTAACAACTTCAACAACACAAATCACAATAAACATGAAACAACAAAAAGAGTTGGATTTGAATAAAATAATTATACACTCGAACAACATCAAAATCCAAGAAGAGTACGGAGTATTTGAAGGTTTTGTCAAAAATAAATTTTCAGTAAAAATAAGGAGACCCACAACACTTTTTGACCATTTGAGCTCCTGAAAAAAAGATTTACTAATACAAAAGAAAAAAGAAAAGGTTAAAAAGAATATGTAGAACACAATAATCATTCACGTAGAATGAGACATTTATCCCTTGGTAATATGACACTAATATACAGCAGCAACATAAAGTCTCTTACCCCACCATTTCATCAAATATATCAGGAGCTCTCTCTCGCATTGAATTTTGAATGCTGGGGGAAGTGGAGGGAGATGTATATAATATCAACATTCTGTGAGTGCACAGATCTTTTCCCACACAAATATATTTTTTCTTAGAGCATCATCATATCATATCATATCATATGGCTTAAAAGAGCTCCTCTGAATTAAACTTGTTCCATGCCTCCTATTAAATATTAATCAAACTCAAAAAATTATCACACCACCCAATGCACTTACTAAAACAATCATTATATTTATGTGTGGCAATTTTGTAATCCATTCACATAAACACGGGCCAACAAGGGTTGTAATTACTGCAACGAACTGAAAGTGGCCTATGTTCATTATAAAAACGATACATTAATATTGGAAACTGAACTTAACGGTTATCTACTTACCTTGTTCTCTTTCTTAGTCTCTTTTTAGTATATTATTTGTCCTTTTAAAAGTGTTTCGTTGATGTAAAAAAAAAAATAATAACAGATGTTGTGGAAAAGGAAGAGGGATACGTAATGTGATGTACCTTAAGTAGGTCAAAGACCTTTTCAGCAACATATTTCTGTTGGACATTAGCTCCTTTTTGTTGCACCTTATCAGGATGAATACACAGAGTTGCCTTTCTATATGCCTTTTTAACATTCGCACCAGTTATTAAATCCGTCAATGATACAGGCTGCCAACCGCAACCAGGCCATAAAACCTAACACCACCAATTTCAATTATTAATTTTTATTCATGGCATCATAACATAACATGAATAATGAGAAGATATACAACATACATATTGTAATGTTGATAGCAATGCACGCAAATTTCCTTCTTTTCCTGCAGCCCAACGCTTGATTTCAATATCCAGGCTATCAGAAATCCTCTGAGACAAAACCAAATATAATAAAATACATCAGAAAAATATATATATATATATATATATATATATATATATATATATATATATATATATTATTTACTACGCAAGCATGATGAAGTGAGATGATCGTATGATATTAATACTCACGTCTTTTTCTTCCTGTTCCCTTTGAGATTGGAGATCACGTTGATTTTTTTCTGCCAGTGCTTTAGCCTATTTATTATGCATCAAAATAATCAGAATTAAAATTCATAAACAGATATATTTTTTTAACTCGTTAAAAATGAGTCCAAAATCACATACTGCGCGCTCCTGAGTGCGTTGCTGTCTTTCCAGCCTGGCTCTTCGTCTGTCCTCAGTTTCCCCTTCAACATCTTGGAACATTCCGGATCCGGAAGATGAAGGGGCAGCTTTTAAAACAAAATAAATAAAACTGATTAGTAAACAGAAGGATCTATTTTATACATCATTTTAATTATGATTAACAAACTTTTGTTTACAAACATAAAAAAACTAAAACATATTAAAAGCTCAATCAGTTATGATAATAAATATTTGGATATTTTATAAAATAAAACTGTAAGTTTATTAAAATAATATAAAACTTATGCCATTAAAAACTACATAAACTAAAATAAGTTATATCACAAATTTTCAGATTAAAAAAAACAGGAAACGGAAATTAACAAAATGGAAAAAATCACATTCCTTCTGCAATGGTGCATTCCATTCCATCAGGTAAAACATGTTTTTTTTGTTTTTCATTTATATGGAATGAACCATTCCATTCATTCCCTGATTGCATCATACAAAAAACTACCCAAGAGAGTAAGTTATGTTACATTAAAATTAATCTAAGAGTCTGTTTGGTTTGATGGAATGGAATGACAAAGGACTGAAATGGACAAGGTAATGGAATGAGACATTACATTCCAAAGTTCCATTCCATTATCATGTTTGGTTAACCAGTAGCCCTCTACGAATGGAATGAACTTTAATAATAAATTTAACTACAAAGGTACAGTTTTAACACTGTTCTATATATTATTTAATTATAAGCATAACATTTATCATCTACAAAGATAAACAAAAAAACTATTCCCAACTTGCTTCTAGAAAATAAAATTATAATTTAATTTAGACAGATAACACTCTTAAAATTTATCTTAGTCATTATATATTCTATTATATATAAAAGGGTTGTATCAAGTATTAACAATATGGAAGGAATCAGATTCCTTCAAGAATGGACTTTTGGACTATTGTATTCCATTCCTCCTCCAATTCCATCATACCAAACACTGGCTAAATAATAGTAATGTATAGTATACCTCCAAATATTGAGCTAAGATCATCAACAATATTGGTGGTGGAAGACGCTTTCTTCATATTAGAATTGGAAGATACTCCGCTACTGGAATTCCAAGTCCGTGGGGCCCCTTCCTGTCCTCGTCTGTTCTGTGATAATGGATCAGGTACAGAATCCTGCATTTCCCACAAGGTTTAGGTTTATGTTTAACAATAAAAACTTCAAAATTGTATATACAAAATCATGATTACACTATTTACTACTCACAGAAGAAGCTGTCCTTGGTCTTGGAGCACTGTTGGGTCGGGAACCCCCACTGAAAAATGAATCAAGATCATTCTCATTCTTTTGTTGGTTCATCCGGGCAGCAGCAGCTGCCCGATCTCGGGCATCAACAGCAGCTCTCTGTCTAGCTTCAGCAGCAACCCTTTCAACAGCAGCCCGTTCTGCCCTACGCCTTGCATCTGCTTCAGCCCTTGCAACAGAAGCTTTCTCAGCAGCAGCTTTTTCAGCAGCTTCAGCTGAAGCCCTCTCTCTAGCTTCAGCAGCTGCCCGTTCTGCCCTTCCCTTTGCATCAATAGCTGCCCGCTCTCGAGCCTCAGCTTGTGCTCTTTGAACAGCAGCTCTTTCAGACTTCAAACGAGCTTCAGCAGCTGCTCTCTCACGTGCCTCGTTTGCTGCTCTTTCACGGGCTTCCCTTGTTGCCCTTTCCACAGCTTGTCTAGCCTTTTCCCTTTCAATCTCCCTCATTCTCTCTTTCTCAACTCTACTTTTCTCTCTCTCTTGTTCTTCTCTCTTTGATGAATCTTCTTCAGTAGTCATTTCGTCTCTTTGTACTTTTACAGTTACAGATTCTTTGTTTCTAGAAGCTTTTGCGTGTTCTCTTTCCCTTACTTCCTTTGCATGCCTGAATTTAGCTTCAGCTCTGTCCATGGCATCTTTCATTGCAGCAGCAGCTGAGTTTGAATCCATCTCTTCACCATTAACATGGTCCACACCGTTATCTTGAGCTCCACTTCCACCCATGGCAAAGTTCTCAAACTCGTCTAATGGAGATGCTTGGAATGGGTTATGACTTTGAGGGTATTTACCAGAATACCCTCGTTCGGATTTTGAAGCATGCCTTGGTATTGGAGGGGGAGGTCTTGAAGGTGGTGGTGCTTTTGTAGGTTGTGTGAATAGAGGTATCTCTGATACAGTAAGCCATATATCATCAGCTGGTTGTTCTTGTTCTTGTTCATGTTCTTGAAAACTTGTCTCAGTATATGAAGGTGGAGAAGCAGTTTGATCAACAGAT